CCTAGCGGAAACCCTGCTCTGCGGATCTAAGGTCCGGTAGAGGGGGATGGGGCACAGAGTCGCTTATCCAGGCGGGGGAGTGCATCTGACAAAGAGAGGTTGTTGTGCTCTCTATCTCTGTTTCTTATCCTACATTTTCACCCTGGACTAGAGGGAAAGCGTTCTTGGACGCCTTTTCAGCTCTGTTTCTTACTATATTCCTCCTACCTCGTTTACCTTGAACTATTCTAGGAGAGTGTGTTGACGTTGACTCGTTGGGCCTTTCCTCCTGTACTTGTTTGTTCCCCAGTTCTTTCCTTTAACTGAAACTAGGAGAGGGCATTTAGGCCTCTCTACTTCCTTCTTTTGATTAGTTTAGTTTTTCACCCCCTTTCCTTTGAACTAATTTACACGGAAGAGTGCATCTACGTAGTCACGTTGTGCCTCTCGGCGTATACTTTGACTTTCTGTCTCTTTGGAGAGTGCTAGTACGTTGGGCCTTTTCACTGTTGTCCCTCTTCACTAGTATCCCATGTCCCCTCTTTATAATCTGGGTCTTCATAATTTCCACCATATTCTAAGGGGAAGCATGATGGTGCCTTTTCTTTTCAATTTCTGGCTTTGTGTTTCTTCACCTCTTACTCGTTAATATTTAGGAGAGTGCATTTACGTAGTCACGTTGTGCCTCTCTTCCTCTGATTCTGGCTGTTCTTTTCATACCCTTGTTTCTCAGAGAAGAGAAGAAATACTATTCTAAAAGGAGCTGACACATGGTGTCTCTTCACTTGTACACTTGAGGGGTCAGAGTTCATATGGTGAGGGATTCCATGAGCGGTATGCGCCGGCCTGTGCCTTTACCTTGCACTTCTAATAGAACTGCTCGGGTCTTGATAGATTGAGTGGGGAAGTTCATGAGATCTTTCTAGAGGGTTATCAAGAATAACTTTTATCCAATGACCTTTTCCCTCTCTGTCTGTGTCTGTGTATTCTCTTGTTCCGATTAACCCAGCCAAATCTTTGTTCTTGTTTTGTATCTATATCTACGCCGGGATCCGGAGTCGAGGCTGATCCTCTTGCTGTAGTCCTGTGTCCTGAATCCTCTATCCTGAGTTCTGGATTAAGTCGTGGACGTTTCGGGTCGTGGCTGAACCTGTCTCTGCGGTCCTGCCTTGGGTCTCGTCATGCTGCTTCCCTGATGGCTTCCACAGGATTGTAACTGACATCCTCGTGGATTCATCTTCTTATTACAGACACATGCATTTCCTAACATTCGGTCTATATGCTGTCAAATGTATTATCTCTTCGATTTACACACGGCATCTATTGCACGTCTGTCCGTCCTGGGAGAGGGATCCCTCCTCTGTTGCTCTCCCTGAGCTTTCTCCCATTTTTTCCCCTTAAACTGGGTTTTCTCTGGAAGTGTTTCCTTGTACGATGTGAGGGTCTAAGGACAGAGGGTCTGAGGACAGAGGGTCTAAGGACAGAGGGTCTAAGGACAGATGGTGTCGTTTTTGTCATACTGATATTCTGAACAATCTGTGCTGTTGTATTTGCTGTAAAGTGTCTCTACTGTAGGCTAATTGTATTATATGTACAGCACTTTGGCTCCACCAAAAATCGTTTATAAATGTGCTATATAAATAAAACTTGATTTGATTTGATTTGACATTGCAATCGGTTGAAAGCTCTTTGCGTCCGTTTATGAAGCTGAAGGAGCCTCGGTGCGTCCCAACTGCACGCCACGGGGTCACTGACCAAGCGTCGTTCCTGGACGTTTAGGGAGTGACAATGTGTTGGAGCGGTGTGGTGTTACACATGCTCAAAAATGAGGCTCATTTGAAACTAATGCACCAGTACTTTCTATGGTTTGGCTTATTTTAAGTGAATGTACCTGCAGGTTTCTTGCTGTTCTGAGTTTGTATCTTCGTGATTGAGTGCACTGTGAGTCGCTTTGAATACAAGTGTCATCTCAATGCAATGTTATGTCTGCTGGATGCTACCCTTCTGCAATAACTCTCTTTTTTCCTGCTGTAAATTTCCATAACTGTCAATATAACTGTAAACTATAAACTGTCAAACAAGTTAGGGTTTGACAAATAAAAAACGAAATGCTCACCAACAATTACATGCTGAACAACAAGTAGCATGGGACTTAATTAAAAATAAATTCCTTAAACTTGTAGACAGTTTTCCATATAATAAGACTTTAGGACAGAGTTTTAAAACCACAAAACTAAAATATAGAGAATAAAGTTATGATATAGCAAAATTATACTTGAGGAAGTACTTGAGGAAGTTTAGTTCTTATGTTTTCAACTATGCATGGATGCATAGTAATAATGTAATAGTAATAATGTATTCAAATATATTACGAGTTCATCATTTCATCATTACTAGTTTATCAAGTAAGGTTACTGTCAAACTCATAATACAAAATGTTTGCACTAATATGCTCATAAATATTTTCTTTTTTAAATACAAATAAATGTACATTTAAAAACAACTTTTTGAACTGAAATATTACAAATATTTTGGTCAATTAGTAGCAAAACTAACTTTTTTGTGTAAAACTGATACTTCATCATCACAAGAATAAATGTGCAATCCTATGAAGAAAAAGTCCTGGCATTCTAAGAGTATGGTTTCATTCTTGGAGACAGGTAGGAAAAATGGACAAAAAGCCGTAAATGAACTGAGTGAAGCCTGTCTTCCTTTCCTCCCCAGCACTGAGACTCTGTCTCTGTCCTGCCCACTCAGCAGAGATTTACATAAACTGTAATTGCTGCACATGAAGTATAACATAGAGTTTTCAGTGATACATTTTATTATATAAATCATTAAAAACAGAGACCTTGTTTTTGTTTTGTACTAAATGAACAACAAAGCCTTCACATCTTGCCTGGGACTAAATGTTACCTTCAGCTCTGACACTGACAGCTTCTGCAGCCTTAAGTCTCCTGCATTAGTATGTCTTGAATAGACGTAAATCCCTTGGTGGGATATCAAAGCCATATTCTGCTGAGTAAACTTGTTGGCTAATACAGGGATTTTCTACATTTCTGTTTATGTGGAAGAGTTGCCTTTTCTCCTCCATATTTATTCAACTCTGCAATACAGCAGCAGGCGAGAGGAGGACAGAGAGGAACAGGAAATCGGATCCTCTCTGAGAGTCAAGGTGGTAGTAGTAGTAGTCGTAGTTTTTTTTAAGTCCCATTTATTGTTTTTTCTTGTTGTTTTTATATTGTCTTGTTGTTTTTATATTGTCTTGTTGTTGCGTGTTGGCACCTTGAGTTTATTGTAATTGCGTTGTACCTGTACAATGACAAATTAAAGATCTATCTATCTAGTAGAAGTAGTAGTACAAATAGTTGTAGTAGTTATTTTAGTTGCACCAATATAGAATATTACAGCAGTAGTAATAGTGGAGCCTCTAGCATTAGCAGCAGCAGAGGCTGTAGCACTGATAATATGATCACTGACTGCTCTAGAAAGTTGATAGTGGTGGCAGTAAAAGAAAAGCTGCAGTTGGAGTACTAGTAGTGAAACTTGAGTAATAAGCCGCATTCACACCGCAGGACTTTCCCTGGTACTTTGGTTCTTTAGTTCCGTTAGTACCAATAATGTCGCGTTCTCACCGCCGGGACTACTCAGTGCCGGGAACTCTTTTGGCCATTTTCAGTCCCTGCTAGAGAGGTGGTACGAACCTGGTGATAAAAGAGTGCCAATTTATATTCTATTTCTATTGGCTGGGCGAATTGCAAACCACGCCCCGTTAGACTCAGATTTTTCTTTGTTAGGCAGCCATTTCTTTCCTCGCTACAAAACCACATCCACACCTGAGCGAGTAGTTTTTTTGTACTTTAAAGCAGTTATGACCACACGTACTACAACACCGGAGCGGTGGAATGGTGAGGAAGTGTCTGGCAATTTACTCTGAGGACGGGATGCAGCAGCTTCTACAGAAAGCAGTTCCCAACTCCAAATGTTTTTAGCGATGTTCGCAAAAGCTACTTGAGCTGGGAATCGTGCACAGTGCACACGGATGCCGGGTAAAAATAAAGAAACTCAGACAGGACTATAACAAAATTAAAGACCACAATAATAAGAGTGGTAACGATTTTCTATTGTTATTATATATATATTGCCACTGTTTTTTAATACCGACACCTAACTTGCACTAAGGTGTGTCTGCTGCTATATATATTACCACTGTTACATTGTTTTGAAACTACTTACACTTTATTTTACATTTCACACTTTTATTTAACTTCAATTTACATGCATACGACACACCTAGAACAGCGTGATGCCTTATTGTTATGTCTTGACTGTGCAATAAAACAAACAAACTGGCGAAGCTTTATTTATTGTGTCCCACCCCAAATGTGCAGAATAGAAGAATGTGAGAGCAGACAGGTGTCGGTGGTTGAATGTATCTACAATGTTGCAACCTTGTGCAGCAATGGCAGGGGCAGAAACACAAGTCTTACACACATAAACACAAGTCATTTATCATGTCATTTGTTTTAGATAAATAAGGGAAAAACACCAAACAAGGGTTAATGTCCTTTTCCAAAATCAGCCTGAGGGGGTAATATATAATAAATACATATAGATAAAGTCCATTGTTATAATGGGGTATTTTATTTGTAAATTACCCTTATGAACTCCATCATGTCTGAGGTCGGAAAGTAAACAAACGCCTCATACAGCGGGTGGGCTTTATACCCCCTCCCCCCCCCGTGTAGTTCTTCTTCTCTCGTTTTTGTTTGTACTCGCCGTGAAGTGGTTTTGCGGCCTGCCAGTAAACCCAGAGAAGAAGAAGACGAAGTGACGTCAGCGTAATCTTGCCTCAGGGAAAGTACTGCAGTGTGAATGCGGCTATAGTTGTAAAGGCACTAACCTTAGAAACAGTGATAGCGTTACAAAAAGTAACAGGGTTAAAACAAGCATGTGTGGCAGCAAGGAGAAAGACACAGTGATGGAATTCTATCAGCGACATCTCCTGGCTGTGAGCTCACCTGATGATGTATTTGTGTCCATTCCTGGCTGCCAAGTGGAGGGGGGTGGTGTGGGGAGAGTCCAGACTTTCCTGCCCTGCCCCCCCTTCCAACAGTGCTGAAACCATGTTACTGCTCAGCAGCAACTGAGTCACCTGAGCATAAATCAAAGACACCGAGGGGAAGATGAAGTGTGAGCAGTGAAGAAAGAGGAGTGGCAGAAACAGGGCAAGAATTACAGCAGTAATGTTTGATTAAATAAGAAAAGCCATGCTAGGTGCTGTGGTAAAAAGGTATGGATTTAAATAATATATCTGGTGACTTACAGTATATACAGTATAGGCTGTAGCTAGAGGGGGTTATCCACTACTCAGCATCTGTCTAAAGATACCTCAGCTCCTCTCACACACACACTCACAAAGTGTGAGTGCTGACAAAAACAGCCCGAAGTTTTCTATTCTTTCCCATCTAAACAGCTAACTCAGACCAGACGAGAGAACATTTAACAGGCAGAAGAATTACGGTGTATTTGTGTGTGTGTGTGTGTGTGTGTGTATCCACTAAAGCTGACTTTCCTTTCACACAGACAAACTTCCTAAAGCTGGGTCACTAAATATATTGACATAGGCCATCCACATTCAAAAAGGGAAAAATGGGTGTTGCAAATAAAAAAAAAAAATGTCTTCGAGATTTTGTCTCTAATTCCCAAGAAATATGTATGTCCGTAACAACTTCAAGGAAGGACATTTAAAGTTTTGACATTTATACAGTGTGTACGGTGCAGAACAAGAATAAAGTTATTACAGCACCAAAACACCCCCACTTTCCAAACTCTCAACAGCTACTAGGATGATTTGCTGTTTGCCTTTGGTAATCCTTAAACTTTTCGGTACCACTTTACAATAAGACTACCCTTATAAAGGGTTTACGAATAGTTTGTAATTCATTTAGGTTGTGAACACTTTATAAATAATTAATAAGCTTGTATAAGACATGAGATAAGAAAAGAAAGTTTGGGGCTCTCTGCTGGAACTGCTACCCCCGCGACCCGACCACGGATAAGCGGGAGAAGATGGATGGATGAAGACATGAGATAAACAGGACAACTGTGACCGGTTGCTTGCCAAATAGTGAGCCCATGTATCTGTATTGCTAAGCCTTAGATTGGCTAGCTAGCTTACTTTGTCTTCTTCATCAGCCAGCATCCTTGGTATCTGTTGTTCACTGAGTTGATTTTCCCCCATCCATCTTGATGTTTCCTGGCATCTCTTATGACCATTTATGAATAAGTTACTACCATTTATAATTGGTAAAAGGGAGCCTTATTGTAAAGTGTGACACACATCACCATCTATTGATGAGTCACTAACATTTATAACTACTGAAAGGGTGCGTTGTTTTTAATTGCACATGTCCATTTATGAATGAGTTATAACATTCACGCTGACCTAATACACATTTTTCACATGAAATGCAAAGTAAGATGCAACAGAACCAAGCAAAACATTTTATTCACACATGAAGAAAATTAGGAATCAAAATAATTTAAAAGTTTAAAAGACTGATACACATATTTAAACATAAAAGCTTTTCTCAGACATAATCCTGTCTGACTGCAATAAAATCCTGGATGCAACACAACTTCCTCAAACTCAACAGCAATAAAACTGAACTCCTCCTCATCGGCTCCAAATCCACCCTCAGCAAAACCCCCAACCTCAGATCCACCTCAGCCGGTTTGCTTTCCATCCCCAAGGCCAAACTCCGGAGCTTTGGGGACAGAGCCTTCTCTGTGGCACACTGTAAAAAAGGATTTGATCATTAAGTTATTGTAAGTTTAGTCTTTAAGTAACTTTCACTTAACATATCAATTTATGCAATTTCTACTTAATTTCATAAGTTGTTATTATTTCAACTCAGCTCTGTAATCCAGTTCAATGACCTCTACATTCTATGAAGCAGGGCTGCCAACATTTGAGTTCAGCTTGGAGTGAGATTTTTTTTTTTGGTGAACCGAAAAAAGAAACGTTCACAGTGTTACAAATGTATTGAACAACACACTAGGGTTTCCCATTCATTCACTATTGACTAGCGTTACCGGGTTGGGCCGGTCGGCCGGTCGAGTTTCCCGGGCTGATTTTTAGTCCCAGTCCGCAACCTCAACCTGGTGCATTTTGAGAGCAAAATTAATTTATGGATACATCTCTCAACACCCATATGAAACAGAACTGTAAACAGATTTTCTTTTTCTTTATGGATATTTTACAAATCACTATATGTATTGAAGATTTACATTATAAATATTCCCCAAAATTATTCAAAAGCATATTCTTCCAAACCCCTTGCTGTAGTATGACACACAGGAGACTATTGATGTGTGTAGTGAGTTTGGTAGTAATAAGCTGTATAATAGTGATTGAATATTATTGTATTCTCTTTTTTGGGAGTTGCACTTTGCAGACGGTCCCTGAGCACTCGTTTCTTCTCCGGCTGCGGATAGAGACCAATGTAATGTGTCCAGCTCGGAGGACGGCGCGTATTGGCTTTTTTTTTTTTTTAATCAAAATGTGATTATAGTTTGTTGTCAACCTTACCACGGTACTTAGGAGACGTTATTTGTGTCTGAATAACGTTTTGTTCATGAGTTATTGATCCGTGAAATCAGAATCTCCCAATATGTTCCAACTTTACTGAACGAAGCCAGAAGACCGTCTCATTTCGTAGACCGCTCGGTTTGCTGTTCCTTCACTTTATTTTTATATACATTTATTTTGGACGAAAACTTAGCGTGAGGAAAGACAAGTGTGGCGTGAGTGCGTGAGATATGGGTTAATTGCGTGACTCTCACGCTCAATGCGTGAGCATTGGCAACCCTGTATGAAGTCAATTTGACTGAACAGTGTGAGTTGTGATGTTCTGGAATTTTCCATGGCCTCTTAACATGGCAGTAGTGATGACATATTCCTGCCCGGTGAAAATAGTCCCGGTCTCATAGTTGTTTTCATTAATTGAAAGCATTTAACAGGGACATGAGTTTTTTTTACGATATACAGCAAGTGAACCACCGAGTTCGACACAAAAATGCTCTATGTGGATGCACACTAACCTTTCCCTGTTATTATTACATGCATCCCATGAATTTATTAGATTGAATATGCCTCATCAATCAAAGATGAACATTTCAAGTTGTTTAATTATTTAAATGATGCACTGTTTAAGTCTTTATCATATTAATTCAGGGATAATATTGTAATTGTGAAAGCCAAGGCTTGTAGTTTATGGGCAACGTAACTGTTGTAATTGTGTGCATCTTATTCTTTGTCATGTTCTCAGTTCTTATTACTTTATTAAGGCCTGCTTCATAATGTACCGAAATGTGTGTTCTCTATTACAGGTACAGATTTTCAAAGATTTCCGTTTTTCTGCAACTGGATGAAGTGGACTTGCAAGTTGTGCAGGTTTTCCAGTTACAATGAGAAGGCAACATGCACAGTTGCACATGCATGAGACTGTTGGTAGAATATTTTCTATATGTCTGTGTCTCCTCAGATTCAGGCAGAGTTCCAGAGAATTGTCACTACGGACCTGCTGTCATCGTTTCTGGATGGACTTGATGGCCTGGCCCCAACATTGCTGGAGGTCTACAAAGGTGCATCCAGGACTGGAAAGAAGCCGGCACTAAAAGGCCTTTTGGACTGCCTTGAGAAAGATGTAAGTGGAGATGCTGATGACCATCATTTAGTCACCATTTGTTTGCTACAAATGTTTATATCCCACTGCATTTCCTGCAGGACACAAATGAGAGGAGGAGGACTGCTGCTCTCTTGGGACTATCACACTACCGTACATGTCTGGCCAAAATCAGGCAAATGTCATCAGGAGGTGTGATGTAAGATCATAACTGTCTTTAATTACTTTATGTAATTGTACATTTTAACATAAATCAACCCAAATCACCCTGTGCCCAAAGTTTCCTTCAAAAGTAATGTTTACAATTACCTTCATTTAACTAAAATAATTGCAATAAAGAATTATACATTTAATATAAACAAAAACAGCAAGAAAATAAACGTTTAACCATTAAATAATATAAATAAATATATAGCTCAAACTGTGAAAAAGGAGGCAATTGAAATGATGTTCCATCACATTGCACTTGTACACTGTGAACTGTAGTTTGTAGCTTCTATGTTAATAGCAGAGGTCTCTTAATAAGCTTTGTAGAGAAAAAGTACTTGATACTTTTATTGCTCACTTTTATTTCTCTTTTTTTAAGGCTCATGGAAACACTCTCGAGGAAGCCATGAAGGTGATGCAAGTTTGTCTACTCATAGGCTACGAAGGTGAACGGGATTCCTTTCCTCAGCAGATATTCAATGTGGCAGTTGTGGTCGAGGAGACAATTGTGCTCCACAACCTGAAAGATGTGGCTTGCGGCTTTGTGATGCTTCTTGGACTAATATATTGCTTAAATCTTCAGTATCCTCTGGAAATTAAATGTTCATTTGAGTTTCTCCAGAGGGTTGTTATGAAGATACAGCCAGACCAAGCCTCTGCCAAAATACATGGACTAAAAAACAAACTAGGTAGGAGGTAGATCATCAGAGAGTTCAATTTGGTGTTGTTCATTTGTATGTTCAAGTATTTTGTGCCTCTACAGTGACATGTTTTTAAAAAAATGTAAATGTTTTAGGTTAGTGAGAATTCCATTTATGTTGGAAGTGTCACGAAGAAACTTGCATTTTAAGAGGACATTTAATGTTCATTTCAGTATTTACTAGTGTCTTGAAAGAGTCCTCTCCTGCTGATGTTCAGAAATAACTTATTGTTCTGCAGGTCTCCCTTGAAAAAGAGATCATTGATCTCAATGGGATTTCACCTGGATAAATAAAGGTTTTTGAATTGAATTGTTCAAAAAGCTCTCTATTTGTTTCGTACTGTTTGTGCTGCACCCTCGGTCCTATTTGTCAAATTAATAACATACATTAGATGTTTTGATTTGTATGTATATCTGTTGTATAATGTATGTTTATACTTGAAAAAGAAAAATATTTCAGCATCTGAAGTAACTTCAAGCCTTGATCTCCTTTTATATACATTTGGGTGATGTTAGAAATAGAAAACACTAGTTTACTTAACATGAAAATGTAAGTTAAATAGCTTGAAAACATAACTTGAATTTGTCAGTCGGTATAAATATAGATAAAGTGATCCTAACTTAGAATTGTGAGTTAAGATAAGGTAGAAGTTAAAGTTGATTTGACTAGATAATGAACATTTCTTGAATCTATAATGTAAAATTGTAAGTTTCTTTAACTCAGAGTATTAAGTTATAACAATGAATGATCATTAGTAAAATAACTTGTATAACTTAACATTGTGAGTTGAAGTACATTTTTACTTTAAGTCAACTCATATATATGAGGCCGCCCTTGAACTTGTGTTTATAAGTTAAAACACCCTATTTATTTTTACAGTGCAGCCCCGAAGCTCTGGAAGTCCCTCCCCCAAGACCTCCGTGAGTCTGAGTCCCTCACCCTGTTCCAGTCCCGCCTCAAAACCCACCTCTTCAACTCTGTATATCCATAAGCCCCGCCCCCCTCTCCTAACTTTTTTTTGTTTTGCCTGTCCTTGTTTGTCTCCCCTCCCTCAAAATGTAAAGCGTCTTTGGGTTCAAGAAAAGCGCTATAGAAATACCATTTATTATTATTATAAATTAAAGACTTGGTAAGACTGGAAAGGCTTTGTGTATATCCTTGAACAAGCGTCCAAGCAGTCCATCAGGGTAAGCAGAGCCAAGCCAAGATGACCATTCAAGAACCTTGAGGTGTTCCTCCAACAAACTCTCTGTACGGTTTCCTCTCAGTCTACGGATATGTCCTTTGACGGTCGACCAAGCTCTTTCATTATGTTGGGTATGACTGCCAGTCACAAACCACCTGCTGTGGTTTAAGTGGTTGTACCCCATGTTACTCAGCACTCTCCTCCACTCATCATGCCCTCCACTCATCACTAATAATGCTACTTCCTGACTTAACATGCCGTCTAATCAGAGGGACATGGTGGCATCTTGATCGTTTCTCCACTAGTTTCAACACCTCCGCTTTTGTCTTTAACTCCCATCATTCCGAAGACCCATTTCTTCCTTCTTCAGGTGTGTCCAAAGCGTCCACGTGCATACTAACACAAAATAAATCATAACATCATCTTAGTTAAAAACAAAATGCACACAAATTACAGTAAAAATGGTTGCACATCATGTTTCAAAATGCCATACTTGTTTATTAGGTGCATTGTATAACATCATTTAAGGATAATTTTACAGTAATGGTTCATATTGATTTTTTTGTATTCTCTTGTACAAGAAAGCCCAGTCTATAACTGCCGAACATAGGAACTGGGTACAGTACCTTCTCCCAGACATAAATAGTCAAATAAAATAGTTTACTTTATCAGCATTGGTGTTACCAATGCTGACTATTTATTTAATACCAATTTGGTAATACAATTAATAAAAATAACCAGGTTTGTGTTCGTTCTTCAGATATGACTGTGACGTTAACGTGTAACCTCAATAATGAACTCCAGCTCAACCAACCATATCGTAATATGTATCTAAGTAATCATCTTGAAATATGACAATATTATTTGTAATATTCACACATCTTATAGTGAGGTTAATTTCACATACACTAGGCCGCTCTTCAAAATTACGTTGACGTTAGCTTGTCTACAATCGATCATAGCAAGGCAAGGCAAGGCAAGTCGATTTATATAGCACCTTTCAACACAAGGAAATTCAAAGTGCTTTACAACAATGAAAGACATTAAGAAAATGGCATTTAAAAACAGTTATTAAAAAGCAAAGATAATAAAATAAACATTAAAAGAAAAAATACATGAATAAAAGTTACAGTGCAGTTTAAGATATGAATAGTTCAATTAAACATTAAAAGAAAAAGTACAAGGATAAAAGTTACAGTGCAGTTTAAGATATGAATAGTTCATTTAAAAACAGCGGCAAAAAGAAAAGTCTTCAGCCTAGCGAATTTAAATTAACCTTAGCAATGCCTAAAGTTACCTAACTAATAAAATATCTCTCTAACTTACAAGGATGACCTTATTTTACCAACCTCAAACAGAAGCCGTTTATTCTACAGTATTATCCCACTTAATGCTTAAAGGTGGGGTAGGTAATTCACTTTTTGTTATATTCAATGGAATGCTCTTAACATCCCGATAGCAATGAATACATTAAATGCTTTGACAATATATACATTAAAAAAATTCATCTGTGGAAGCCGTGGCGCTGTAAAAAGCACGACCAATTATTTGAGCCGGCCCGGCTAAAATAACTGTATGGCCTGCTGCCTGTCAGCCTGTGCACAAACTTATCTCATGCCCTTATTGGTCATGTGCGCGTTCGTGTGTGTTGGAGGAGGGACTCTGTAAGGTACTCTGAAGGAAGGGATAGATTATTTTCGGCTGCGTACTTTCAGATTCTAGCGCACTCGAGCCAGTTTCTCCTTTCTTACCTACCCTACCTTTAACACTTCTCTATTACGTTTTAACTTGGAGGCTACGATTAGCATCGTTAGCACAGATGTAGCTACCACTCGCTTACATGCTAAGCGAGTGGTAGCTAGCCTTAACATTCATTAATGTTAGCTGACTTAAAACATAAGCAACACATAAATAAAGTACTCATTTCACTTACCGCAAAACCGCATTCATGCACCGTCTGTTTTAACCGCAGAGCGAGTCACAATAGTCCGATATAAGCATGAAGAATAGTCCACAAGGCACCAGCACAACAAACACGGCAGAGTTCAAGTTATGTTCCCCGGATGAGCTGAGCAGGCTGAGTCCCTGTAGCATCACGGAGCACGGAACACACTCACTCTTACCTTCAGTCTCCCAAACTCGCAGGCCAGATCCAGCGGAGACTTCTGAGCCTTGTTCAGCAGGCAGGGGTTAGCCTGGTGCTGCAGCAACATCTCAGACTGAGAGAGGAGAAGAGAGCGATGTTACCTCATGGGCCATGCAACACATTCAGTGTGTGTCAGTGTTTGTCTTTGAGCAGAACGCAGAACATATGATAGCTTCACTCTGTTTAGTATTGTCTACTGTGTTTGATGATGTTGTACTAAAGAGGCCAGGTCTCTATATGGGTTATATGAAAGGATAGGTGTGTGTCCATTAAGAAATTCCAGGAGCAAAGGATGACGCACGATAACCTGCAGCATGGCTTTAAAGGTGTCATTGCTATTGTTGGTGGACAATCCAGGCTTGGACACAAAGGGAGTAGATTTCAGGGGGAGGACTAGGGATATAAGGTGCCCGTGTGTGTGTGTGTATGTGTGTGTGTGTGTGTGTGTGTGTGTGTGTGTGTGTGTGTGTGTGTGTGTGTGTGTGTGTGTGTGTGTGTGTGTGTGTGTGTGTGTGTGTGTGTGTGTGTGTGTGTGTGTGTTGAAGTAAAGTGTTACAGCAGAAAGTTTAATACAGCGTATTTCTGGTATATTCATTTTATTATGTCACCTGATATATAAGAAGTATGTTAAATTTGAATGGACAAAGTACATTTTTTCCTCTTAGTTATAGAGGTTTTTTATATATTCCTGAAACAATGTCCCCTTTTTAAGTAAAAGTAGATTAGCGCAATAGTCTTTTCTTCCACTTTTATGTATAAGCAAAAGGGTGGTTTTTTGGCTATTTGTGAGTATGTAATGTAAAGATTACCCGTTAAGTATTTTTCAGAAAGTCTTGTTGCAGTTTCCAGATATCAAGAGAGGCCCCTGAGTCTCTTTGTTAATCATCAATGGTCTTTGCAATTAACAGGGGAGCTCCAGGAGAGATCTTCCTCAGATATGGTGCGGTTGAAGTCTTGTGGGTTAATGATTCATTTCCTGCAAGGCTCATAAAGAGGCCTGAATTGTCATTGGGTGTATTCGTTCCGTGTAGGCTGACTTCGGGTGGAGGGAAGTTCAAAGAGGGCCTGAGGGTATGGGAACCGTTAACTTTTGTTAGTTGACTGCTCCTGGGGAGGTCATGGGACAAGGATGGTTAAAACCTATCCAAGCATAGCTTTCAGAGAGGAAAGCAGGTGACATTTGTGTGGGGGGCTGCATAATGAAATGAGTGAGTGTTCTCTATATATGTTTATGTAGAGTTCTACTATTTCACTGCTTGAGAGCAGAGGTAATGTTTTCCTCGTTATTATTGATATTAAGGTGATTTACATGTATTGCTTGTATTGGCCAAATATAAACAACTATATTTTAGACATATCTACTGTGTGTGGGTTAAACTGATGGGGGAGGGGGAGCAGAGAGGGAAGTCTATGCAGAAAATGTGTGTGTGCAGGAATGTGAGACAACAGACACCAGATGTGTTTGTTTTGCCACAAACGTAAGAGACTCTTGTTTCCGGGCCTCCTGGCTGGCTCGCGCTGATTCGCTACGACAGCCCATCGTTTGTATATCGCCCAATAGATGACCTATATGGGAGGAGCATCCATACAACTCATCCTGTTGTTTTTGCATATAAACCTGTTGAATCCTTAGTCCGGTCTCTTTTTTCCTTCAGGCGGTCCAGATAGTAAGATCTCAGAGAGGGGAAGAAGAGCAGGAGTACTCCTTTGTATTGTATTGTTACCTTTTATCATTAAAACAAATGATTGTTTAATCCTTATCCTGGTGTTTTTGAATTCCTTCTTTTATAATCTGACCAGCTCATCAAAGGACACGCGGAGCCGAGGTGGGTTTCAGACCACTCAGACTCCAACAGTGTGTGTGTGTGTGTGTGTGTGTGTGTGTGTGTGTGTGTGTGTGTGTGTGTGTGTGTGTGTGTGTGTGTGTGTGTGTGTGTGTGTGTGTGTGTGTGTGTGTGTGTGTGTGTGTGTGTGTGTGTGTGTGCGTGCGTGCGTACTCACCACCTCGTAGTGACCATACTGAGCAGAGAGGTGTAACGGCATCTGTCCATCATGGGAGGGGGAGTTGACTGAAGCTCCGGCTCTCAGCAGCAGCAGGACAGAGTCAGCTTTCCCCTGCCACGCTGCGTAGTGCAGGGGCCGCATGCCTGCAGGACACACAGCAGCACACTTAGCATACAGTATATAACAACATTAGAAACGCAAAACTTTTGTTTTTGATCCCATTTTACATGAGCTGAATTCAAAGATCTTAGACTTTTCTGCATGCTCGTCGTCCTTTACTGGGGTCTTGACCTGACTGCAGTTCATCGCAGTAACCGACTTGTGCATTTTAATGATGGCATTTTGAATGCACAGAGATACCGTGACAAGATCCTGAAGCCCGTTGTGGTGCCGTTCATCCACCATCACCTCATGTTGCAGCAGGATAAGGCAAGGACCCATGTTGCACCGGACTTGTCACCCATTGAGCATTGACCTGCAAGATGGCAGCGCAGACAGCAGCAGCGGCCCCTATGTCTCCCGAGTCTTTAGCGTTTGAGTGTTTTTAACGTTTGTTCGTCTAGTTCACTTCAAACATCCCGAACCGATAGTACAGTCAGGAGTATACAGTACAGTCGTGAGTTCCTGCTGGACAAGGAAATAACAACAAAACAAAAAATAGACACTATGCTGGCAGAGGTACTCAGCGGCCTTGGAATACGCTCAACCTCGCCTATTACCTACATGCTGAATAGGAGACGCCACAAGCGGTGTGAGACGAAGCAGAACAGGGGTAAGCATGGAGGCATCCACACAGACCCGCTATTCCAACCCAGTCTCACGGCATTTTGAGTTATAGTCACAACATTTAATCTATTGATTCGTGTTCACCAACACGATTTTCCCTTTTTTTTCGTGTCACACAGAACGATTTTAAAAGCAATGTATTTCTATTGGTAGTATGTTTCGTGCCTGCACCACGTCTTTTTGTCCGTCAGCTGTGTGGATCATAAAAACATGTTCTTACTCAATATCAAGCCAAGATTATTGTTTTTATTTTAAATCGTATAATGTCGGACTTTTTTTGCCATCCGCGAGGAAAATAAATGGGGCTCAGAGCCTCAGAATACTGAAATCTGTATTTTTTTTAATCGTTTTTTCCTTCTAATTTGTTTTTCTTTTCTAAATAACACACTGTTATTTAATCAACAATAACACACAATTATCCTTGTTTTTATTTATTTGTTTAATTCCATAATCTCAGGCTTTTTTGCCGTTCCTCTGGAACTGAATTTCAAAATAAAGTCACCGGAAACAGACGCAGGCCTATAAGGGACATTTCGAGCATCATTGCGATACACAGCCACTGAACTGATTACCCAAGATCCTCAGCTATGGTTGAAGCTCGGTGATTGGATGTTTTAGCCGCAATGCATGTTGGGATATGGTGTTTATGCGATATGAAATCCGAAAAACATTTACAAAAAAGAAAATAATACTTTAATCTGAGTGTGCTTGGTTTTCTCTTTGAAAGTCATCACATAAATGCAATGTAATACACGGTTCGGCTGCATTACATATTACACATCTGCCGTAGTTCTTTATTTATAGAGCTCTGATTAGAAGACTTCTAGCCAAACTGGAAGAACTGCCACCGAAACTGAATATGTGACGTGGATCATAAATATATCAGCAATTAAACAACATCTTCAATTTCTCTTTCTTTATCACACCACAGGCAGCCAAGTTGAGTTCTCTGATGTGCTCTGGACCTTTAACTGATAAAAAAAGAGCAGCGTACAGCTTCACAGAGACTAAGACTAAGTTAACACGAGCACTGTAAAACTGAAAGAAAAGAGAGAATCCCGCTACTGCGTAAAGGCGCAGTAACTGTGCAATTATCACTCAGGAACCCGACAGGTGAAGTTTGAGCTCACCTGGCGTGTTCTAAGATTTTAACAAATAAGTGACAGTTTAACTTTACTGACTTAACGTGCGGTAGAGATACTAACAAAACAATACAATCAATGCGGGTAAATATATAAAACCACAAGCGGTAACACTGATACGCACAGTTAAAACACGGCGGACTCGGCGGTCCGTCACAACAGTAGCATGTAATGCAAACAAAAGATCAACATGAAGTTGATAACACACTAATAACCTATATCTGCGAAGACACGAAACCTCGTACATGGAACCGTTCTTGATAATGATTATAGGCGTGCGTAAAGTCCGTTCACTATGCGGCGGAGATTTATTTCACTCGGCTCGGCACTGACAGAGCCGTTGTCTCGCGTCCGAGAAATAAACACAGCGGCTGGTCCTCGTTTCACCATGTAGGCAAGCAGCAGAAAGTCGACTGGAGTTAGATTCAGTCGACTTTGCACTGCCATGCACTGCGCTGCATGCATGGCTTCCTTCTGCAGGTAATGGGTGACCTGCACTGGCAATTGGTAATTAGCCTTTTTCAGTGATGCATGGTGTAGGGGCGCTGTGGTAGTCTACAAACACTGTTCACCGCTGGTGGAGTTTATGTTCGTGAAGTGCAGGCCTTTCCACCTTCCTAGGGAAATTAACTCCATCCTGTTTGCAACCGTTTACATTTCCCCCACCTCTAACAACAAGGACGGAGAGGAGCCACTCGGTGAGCTGTATCGAGCGATCTCTAACCAGCAGACAACACATCCAGACAGCCTTCTCATCGTCGCTGGGGACTTCAATCATGCAAACCTGAAAACTTTCATGTTTCCAAGGAGATACGTGTGTGGTCAGAGGACAGCACAGCTGCACTGCAAGACTACTTTGAAACTACAGACTGGGACATGTTCAAGCACGCAGCAACATACAACAACACCACCAACATCCAGGAATATACAGAAACTGTTATATCTTACACAGGCTCCGCCATACTGGACTGTATGGGTACTACCCCTTGACCTTACTATGCGAGCGTTCACCTACTGAGATATCTTTAAACGTAGCCGGCACCTCTGGGCGGGCCTACCTGAGTGCGTGCGCAAGCCCACCGTATATAAGGCGGCCTTGCCTCCTGACTGTCATCATTTTCTCTTCAGCGAGCAGGATAAATAACTGAGAGACGGAAGAGAAGGAAGAAAATTGAGAAAGTAGAATGGACTCACCAATCCTCGAGCACCGACCCTGTCCTACGTGCACCGGCCTAATCGCAGGTGCCGATCCCTACCGCCTCTGTTTCGAGTGTCTGGGGCCTGAACACGCCGGGGACGGCTTGACCCAGTCTCCCTCCTGTAATACCTGCTGGATGCTACCACGACTTAGCCACCGGCATCGCCTGGAGCATTTTCAGGCCTACTACGTGTCGCCGGAGGACCACGTGGACCTCGAGGTGGTGGAGATGGAGGAACAGGATGCGGCTGGGGAGGTGCCATTCGGCCATCGCGGCGTCAGCTATTTTTTTATTTAGTTTTAGTCTTAGTCCTGTGTTAAATTTCCTTTTTAGTTTTAGTCATATTTAGTCACTTTCATCCTGTTTTTATTGAGTCAAGTTTTAGTCGACTAAAAGTCTGAGCATTTTAGTCTTATTTTAGTCAAAGAAAACTAATTATTTCAGTCAGCTTTTTGTCAATGAAAACTGTTTTCAGATCAGGTTATATAGAACATTTCAGTCAAACTAGTCTAGCCAAAACCAATAATTTGTCATTTTAGTCAAACTTATTTCACAATAAGATTATATCTTGTCCTTATTTGATGAAAAATACAGGTTGAATGATTAAGAAGCTTTGCAGAGAGTATCTGGTCAGGTTTGTGGTGTGTTTACCAGCTGTGTTATGGCCACATTGCTTCCCTTCTGATAAAACAATGCATTTGCTTTTTTTCTCCGCCTCATTGTAGCGAAAATGGGCCCAAATATCACATTGTTTCTTTCTCCCAAGCAGTGGTGGCGTTAGACTTTTTCGTTGTCAGTCATTTTGACGGACAGGATCGTAACATTTTCGTCATAATCCATTATTACCCGTCGAGTCTGTACACAACTCGTCAATCACTCGCCCTGACGGAGGGGGGGGGGGGGGGGATTCGGTTAACGCGACCATCAATCAATCAATGTTTATTTATATAGCCCAATATCACAAATGTTACATTTGTCTCAGTGGACTTCACAGTTTGTACAGAATATCAGTATGACAATACGACACCCTCTGTCCTTAGACCCTTCACATCGTACAAGGAAAAACTTCCGGAGAAAACCCACAATTTAAAGGGGAAAATGGGAGAAACCTCAGGGAGAGCAACAGAGAAGGGATCCCTCTCCCAGGACGGACAGACGGACAGACGTGCAATAGATGCCGTGTGTAAATTGAAAAGATAATACATTTACAACATAGGTAGTCCAAATGTTTGGAAATGCATGTGTCTGTAATAAGAAGATGAATCCACGAGGATATCCATCTATATCCATCTATCCATCTATCCATCTATCCATCTATCCATCTATCCATCTATCCATCTATCCATCTATCCATCTATCCATCTATCCATCTATCCACCAATGATCCAGGACCACAGCAACAGGCACAGCCACGACTCAAGATCCAGGGCTTGCGATCCAGGACTCAGGACCACAGCAACAGGATCATCCATGACTCCGGATCCCGCCGTAGATAGACACCAAAAACAACATTTGGGGAAGCTGGGTTATTCGGAACATGAGAGTACACAGGTACAGACAGGGAGAAGGAAGAAGTAAGGTGTCCCACGACAGTCTAAGCCTATAGCAGCAAAACTAGGGGCTGAATCTAATCAGCCCTAACTATAAGCTTTATCAAAAAGGAAGGTCTTAAGCGCACTCTTAAAAATGGATAGGGTGTCTGCCGCCGAACACAAACTGGAAGCTGATTCCAAAAACATGGAGCTTGATAAGAAAAGGCTCTGGCTCCCATTGTACTTTTAGAGACTCTCGGAACAACCAACAACCCTGCATTCTTGGAACGCAATGCCCTAGTAGGACAGTAGGGTATAATGAGTTCTTTAAGGTAAGATGGCGCCTGCCCATTAAGGGCTTTGTAGGCGAGAAGAAGAATTTTAAATTATATCCTGTGTTCTATAGTCTTTGCAATAGGATATCAGACCACTGCTCCCAAGCCCTGGTGTTGCCATTTTATTTTCTGTTAAATAAGGTTAGTTA